CTGATTATGATGCTTTGGATGTTGCCAACAAAATTGGGATCATCTAAACTGAGTCCAGCGGGCTAATTCTAAATGTAATAAATTTTTCTCACCATAAAAAAAAAAAAATAGTAATTAGAGTCTCTCATAGTGTTAAGTAATGTGATAAGACTGAACCCTGATAATCAGTATTTGAATACTTTCTAGGCTAGGACAGTGGACAGGAGAGAATAAAACTGGACAGTGGAAATTCTCTGTCCTCTTAGCGGTTCGTATTCTAGATGAAGAAACAGTATATTTGTTTAAACAAATATGATTTCTGTTAATACTTTGAGGAAGGGTTTGAAAATGAGAAACTGCAAATAAATACCATGTGTGACTTTTTGTATTGGCAAAGGCCCTTAAATAAGACTGGGTACCTTCCATTTTTATTGTATTTTTACTTTTCATGTCTTGTTTTGTCTTTTTCTTTCTGTCTTTTTCTTTGAGATAGGCCTATTTAACTATAAGAATGTTTCTGGAATTTAGACTCTCTAGTGCATTCTCAAATCAGTTATTCTTCACCTATGTCCCTCCTTGATAGCTTAAGCATCAGAACTCAGAGCTGAAGCTTTTTTCTCTAGGTGCATCTTCAGTGGGACCTGGCTCATCTAGTGAAGACTCAAAAGGGGTTCTAGAGGATGACTTAGCAACATTTTTGTAAAAGAACAGATAATGAATATCTCAGGCTTTGTTGGCCATATGATCTCTCTGCCATTGAAGGAGGAAGCAGTCACAGACAATAAATAATCAGTATGTTCCCATAAAATTTTATTTACAAAAACAGACACTGGGATTAATTTGGTCTGTCCACTGCAGTTTGCTAATCCCTGGTGAAAAGGAGCAAGGGACACAGGGCACCGCTATATCTGACCTTTACCAACTTCACAGGGGGAAACTAACCCTGCCCACAGCCTCAGTAACAAAAAAAAAAACACCACAGTTCCTATGAGGTCAGACATGGCCCCCACACTCCCGTGCCTCTTTCTTCTTATTTCGGCATCAATTTTACTGCTTGGCTGGGTCCCAAACCTGATGTGATAGCTCACAAACCATTCAGAACCATATTGGGAGAGTTAAAAGGTTATAATTCCGATTAATAACAGCACACAGTAAAGACAGATCCCAAAATGTGAATGCAGTTACCTCAGCCTCTAGCCTTGTGGTGTTCCCAAGTTCTCAATCCTGCCAGTATTGACTTCCCCAGTTGCCCAACAAAGATCTCAGGCCTGCCACTGTTAGCTTCCTCTCCACTCCCAAAGGTCCCACCCAACATCAGTTCGCCAGTTCAGCCATCACTGCTGCTGTTGTCCCAAAGCATGTCCTACATTTCAGTGGTTTGGAGGAGGTCTATCTTTTCTGAATGGGGGGAAAAATTCTTCTGTTAGGGGAAGATTTTTTTTGTCTCTGCAGCTAGAGCTCTTCAATTTATTGGTGACACTAGTCAATCCTCTTGTAGATAGTTGTGACTGGCCAGTCCCCATGTAGAATGGTAGGTAGCCTGGTGGACAAGTCAACATGCCCTATTCACATGGTCCTGCCCACTCACATGGATCAATATTCCACACTGGATTAATACTGGAAAATCCATGTTGAAAGACAAACTCCACACTTGGTTTAGAGATAAATGTGCCATTTCTCAGTCTCCAAACTCTTAGTCTAGGGACGTGAGTAGAATTATTCTCATTATAGACAAGTTTGGATAAACTTTGATTATGAGTGGTTTGGTATTTGGTTTTTTTAAAAAACTATAGTGCCGGGTATGGATTCTGGACATAAGAAATAGTGTTACATTAATAGTAAAACCTCTAAAAAAACTGAATTTTAATATTTGTAGGGTTTTTTTTCTCAATGTGCAGCCCCTGTCAGTGCTTTCATCCTGTGGGTAATAGGGCTTGGCAGTGGTTCATGTCTGACTTTTACTCTGGCATAGATACACTATGAAAGACCCACAAAAGGGCCTACCATAAATTAATTACAATTCTCAATATTTGGATATATGTAATGGATATATTATAAAACAGTAGTATTATTTTACAAAATGGTGTAGACTCCCCCCCCCCCCATTTTAAAGAATTACATATTTGAGACATTAAAAGGTGGAGAAAATAACACACTGGCCAACAAACTATATGTAAGTCACCTTTGTGTATTTTGAATGCACATCTGGAATATGCAAAAATGTGGACCTGCTTTTTGTTTTGTTTCTTTCTATAGCCACAGTCTGTGACAACCACATTTTTCTATGTTATGAAACTTAATTTCATTCATTCTCCATCTCCGTACCATTTCACTTAGGACTTCTATATGTCCCTGGTCAGAATGGAAGGTAGTGGGAGCTGGCCACTATCCAGTTCTTCTGGGTTCAAGCTAGAATAATACTTTAGAGTACTAGTACTGATTATTAGTTCTGTGAATTAGTTTCTTCTTTGAGTCTTTGATTTCTCTCCTGCTTTTCCACCCTAGATGAGTAGGCACTAATAGTTCT